CGAGAGCCGGACGAGTCCCGCGGACCCCGTGGCGCTACCTCGTAGGGGCAACCCAGGCGAGGACTGGCACCTCGGGGGACTGTGTGGTGCCGCTGCAGCGGAGCCGCTCCGTCGGGGCCATACCCACTGCCGTGACGCCGCCCGCGGGGAGTAACGACGCCGCCGCTGTGCGCCCTTGCCGCCCCAACCCCCCCCCCCCCCCCCCGCATGAATACACGCACACCCCGCACACGCATGCCCCACATAGGGCCCGCGGGGTGGGTCACCTGGCCAACAGGTTTTCATCCAGAAGCCCCTAATGGGATCGAGCTTCATGGTTTCCTGCGGCCGGGGAATTGAGCGACCTACCTCCGAGCCTGACCAGCACCGCGGCGCCGTGGCCTGATATTATAATTACATAGCCACGGCAGGGGGCTGTAAAGCCACCACGGATGAGATCACACACACACGGCACGGGGCGTGGGAACAGCGATACGCCTTTGTTATAGGTAGCATTAGGGACCCCAAAAACAACGGGACAGGAGCATTCCGAAATCTGAATGGACAAGGCAGCACAGGGGGTGGGAACAGCAGAACGCTTTTGTTACAGGTAAGATTACGGATCCGAATGTGAAAGAGACGAGAATAACTCGACCTCTGAATGGACAGGGCAGGCACGGGTGCGGAAGCATCTGAATGCCTTTTGTTCTAGGTAAGGTCACGGATCCGAATATGAAAGAGACGAGAATAACTCGCCTCTGAATGGACAGGGCAGGCACGGGTGCGGAAGCATCTCAATGCCTTTAGGGTGGATAAAAACGCTGAGGCTTAGGGTAGCGTGTCCAGAGTTCTTCTTCCAGTCATCGAGGTCCACGGAGCAGGAGAGTCAGCCGTTCGAGACGTCCGTGTGATGAGCTCCAGCACAGCCAGGCTCAACCCTCTATGGAGACGACCCACAGCCTCGTCCTTCTACAGCGTTCAGCGCAGCAGAGTGGAAGTAAGCGCGAGTGAGAGGGAAGTGAGTTTGAGTGATTTAATCGAGAGTGGAGCGACAGGCAGAGTAAATTCAGTCTAAGATCCCAGGGGGAATTGGCTGGCACCCACTGACCCACACAATTACGCGTAGCTTAAGGGGTTAATCGCGGTAAATAAAATCACTAGTAGGGGGATAAACTGTGTCGTGTGGTCTTTGGGAGCGTAAAGAGGAGGGTAGAGTGTGCTTGGTGTTCGCGTACCTGTACGATTGTTTGCAGTAGTGTTTAGCGCCCGCGTGCCTACGCGACTATTTTCGGTGGTGTCTAGCGCTCGCGTACCTATGCAATTGCTTACAATAGTGCTTAGCGCTCGCGTGCCTGTGTGACTGTGTTGCAGTCGCACGCCTGCACAATTGTCTAAAAGCGAGGTAGCGAGCTAAGCGCTTGGCGTGCGCGTATTCGCGCGGCTGTTTAAACGGCCCTTTAAATCGGAGCGAAGTGACCCCCTCCAATCAGCAGCACGCGCACGGCGGACGCCTCTGGCCTCCCACCCCCGACAACCCACTACCTCGCGTGTGATTGGTGCACGGGGCTCGGCAGGTGGTAGTGTCGTGTTTGTTATTGCCTGAGCGCGTGGAGCGTGTGTGTGAGGGAATCACGCGTCGGCGCGCCGCACCTGTTTGTTCACGTGCGGGATGGGGTTTTACTTTGCGAGCGCGCTCACCGCGGCACGCCGCCACTGAACAGCGTAGTGCGTCGTAAGCGTAGAGCAGGCGGCCGCATCCAATTGAAACATGCCTACGCGGTTAACTGCAAAGTCGGGGGTGCAAGGGGGCGAGGGATTGGGGGTCGGTAGCGGACCCCACAGAGCAGCCGGGGGGTAGTGGGACAAATGTAGCGGGGGTGTCGGGAGACAACGGCCCCGACAATTCGGTGATGGCGGGGGACGGTAGCCCCCACACTACCACCAGTGCCGGATTAAGCGAGTGTGGGGCCTTAGAATGTTTTTTTTTACCTATAAATGTTATTGTTTGTCTATCTGTCCGTCTGTCTGTGTGTGTGGCCGAAACCTGTGAAGGATTTGGCTCGCAAACCGTCGGGTTTAGGTTTTTAAAAAGTAGCCAGGTACCACGCCATAAGCCCTGTGCTGAGCCAGCACTATTCCGATTTCGCGTCCGTCACCTTTAAAGTAGTTTCATTAGCGATTTAGAACTGTTTTAGGTTACTTGTTACATAGCGCGTGCTTGACACTACCAAGTCACACGCGTTCGGTGGGGGTGAGGGGGCAATTCTCTTTCGTGTGGACACTGCGCAAGGTAACACAGATTTACAGCTCCCTTCAAATATTTTTTACCATGACTGTTTACTCATTACAAATTGCCTTTTATAGGTTACATTTGATGACAGGGATTAATCAATGTTTTATGACAGTTACCCTAAGTAACACGATTTTTCTCCCCGACTACCACTATCTTTGCTTTAGCGACCACATCTTTCTGCAAGGCCATGACACGTTTTCTCTTTGAAAATAGGTACATTTCTAAATATCACTGTCCTGCTCACAAAAACTAGGTTTGAGGGGAAGAACAGCCTTTTTCTGTACTCTTGAGGCATAACCAGCCACGTAATATCACTTACTGCGCAGGAGCAAACCAATAAACATACTCATTGCTATTACGTCTTCATTCTATCATATTTACACTTGCCCCCTCAGTACGGGGGTTGAGCAGTGACGTTATGTCAATGACGCTTGATTGGTGCGCATCTGCTCATAGTTACAGGTAGGTTCGGTTCATTTTGTATTGGTTGACGCTCTTGCTCGCGGCAAATGTTTGCACCAAAATGGTGGAACACCCTCGCAGTCGCTCCTAATTACTTACTTATCATACACGCGTGCATTTCCCCTCTCCAGCATTCTTTCGCTAAAGTCACATACATAGAAAACTATTATTTACAAACTTATTTAGTCGACATCAAAGTTGCGTGTGTACGTCCATGTGTGCGTGAGTCCCTATATATGTGTGCGTTGTGTATGTGCAAGTCCGTGTGTGTGTGCGTCAATGTGTGTGTGAGTCAATGTGTGTGTGTGACAGTCGCTGTGTTTGTTTGTGTACGTCCATGTGTGTGTGTGTGGTGTGTGTTTAAGTCGATGTGTGTGTGTCAGTCGATGTGTGTGTGTAAGTCCATGTGCGTGTAAGTCAATATGTGCGTGTGTGTGTAAGTCGATATGTGTGTGCGTAGTTCCATGTACGTGTGAGTCTATGTATGTGTGTGTTTAAGTCGATGTGTTTGTGTGTGTGTTAGTCGAAGTGTCTGTGCGTGTGGGTCCAAGTGTGTCAGTCGATGTGTGTGTGTGTTCGTCGAAATGTGTGTCTGCGTGAGTCCATGTGCGTTTGTAAGTCGACATGTGTGTGTGTAAGTCGATGTGTTTGTGTGCGAGTCGATATGTGTCAGTCGATGTGTGTCTTTTAGTCGATATGTGTGTTTGTGTAAGTCCATATGTGTGTGGGTGAGTCCATGTGTGTGTGTCTTTTAGTCCATATGTGTGTGTGTAGGTGGATGTGTGTGTGACTCTATGTATGTGTCTGTACGTCGATATGTGCGTGTGTAAGTCAATGTGTGTGTTTGTCCATGTGTGTGTGGGAGTCCATGTGTGTGTGTGAGTTGATGTATGTGTGTGTGATTCGCTGTGTGTGTGTAGGTCTATGTATGTGTGAGTCGATGTGTGTGTGCGTAAGTCCATGTGTGTGTGTGTGTGAGTCTATGTGTGTGTGCATCGATTTGTGTGTGTGTAAGTCCATATGTGTGTGTGTGTAAGTCGATGTTTGTGTGTGTAAATCGATGTGTGTGTGAGTCGCTGTGTGTGTGTGTGCAAGTCGATGGTTGTGTGTGTGTGTGGGTCGATGTATGTGTGTGCGTGAGTCGCTGTGTGTGTGTAAGTCCATATCTATGTGTGTAAGTCGATGTGTGTGTGTGAATCGCTGTGTGTGTGTGTGTAAGTCCATGTGTGTGTGAGTCGATGTGTGTGTGTAAATCCATGTGTGTGTGTGAGTCTATGTGTGTGTGTGTCGATGTGTGTGTGTAAGGCCTCTGTGGAGGAGGCTCGTGAAGGACGCTACTGGGCAGTTGGAGGCAGTCGCCCTCCAACAACAACGGAGGGCGGAGGAGCGACGCTCACAACGAGCGGAGCGCCGGGTGGCTAAAGCACAGCAGGTCGGCACAGCAGGGGGTACAGGTGGTGCATCAGCCAGTCATCTCAGTCATCTTAGACAGTCGACCCGTGGCACTTGGGTCTGCCCCGTGACCTCCTGCCAGCGGGCGTTCGACACTTCACGTGGCCTCAAGGTGCACATGGCCTGGCACAAGCGTCGTGGTGACGTCACCGTCACTTAGTGGCGAATGGCGGTTGTTGTTGTTGTGTGTAAGTCCATATGTGTGTGTGTGTAAGTCGATGTATATGTGTGTAGATCGATGTGTGTGTGTGAGTTGCTGCGCGTGTGTAAGTCCATATCTGTGTATGTCAAGTCGATATGTGTGTGTGGGTCGATGTATTTGTGTGTGTGTGTCAGTCGATGTGTGTGTGTTAGTCAATGTGTGTGCGTGGTGTGTGTGTGTAGACAACTAATATTTAACAATTAAGTTAATTTTTACAATAATGTGTCTAAGTCCATGTTTGCGTGTGAGTCGATGTGCATGTCTGCGTCGATGTGTGTGTCTAAGTCGATGTGTGTGTGGATGTCTGTGTGTGAGTCGATGTTTACGTGTGAGAGTTGATGTGCGTGTGTGAGTCGATGTGTGTGTGTGTGAGTCGATGTTTGTGCGTGTACATATGTGTGTATAAGTCTATGTGTGTATGTAAGTCTATGTGTGTGTGCGTAAGTCGATATGTGTATGTGTGTGAGTCGATGTGTGTGTGGGTCAATGTGTGTGTGTAGCTCGATGTGTGTGTGTGTGAGTCGCTGTGTGTGTGTGCAAGTCGATGTGTCTGTGTGTGTCGGTCGATGTATATGTGTAAGTCGATGTGTGTGTGTGTGTGCGTCCGTGTGTGTGTAAGTCGATGTGTTTGTGTGTGTGTAAATCGATGTTTGTGTGTGTGTAAGTCCATGTGTGCGTGTCAGTGGGTGTGTGAGTCGCTGTGTGTGAGGCGCGTCTGCTTGGAGCGGCGTGACAGGCTCGTCAGACGCATCTAACACAGGCCGTTTCGGGATGGGAGATGACGCATCGTAAATCGGCGGCTCAAACTTCTTCAGCCGTGACGGGTGCACAAACCACCGGCTTTGCCCGAATTGAATACGAATGCACTGGGGTCTATGAATATCAACAATCTCCACCGGCCCTTGCCACGGGCGATGTAGTTTGGGTGACGTGCCTACCGGCACCATGGGGCAATGGAGCCACGCCTTGTCACCTTCTCACCACGATTTGCGTGGAGGTTGCGTACCTCACAAGCGCTCGTTGGACACCTGACACCATGCCGAATTACTTATGGAGGCTTCACGAGCCTCCCTCAATCGCTTAAGGGTCACCTGCATGGGAATCGGTACGGCCGACGCCTAAACCGGTGGCCGCACACCCAATTTCACCAACGCGGGAGCCTCAGGCTCCCACCCATACATCAAATAGAAGGGTGAATACCCCGTCGAGGCGTGTGGTGCTAATCTGTAGGCGGCCAGAATACTCGGTATGTGCAAATCCCAGTCGGTTTGTGGCGCATTAACTTGTTGACACAACATGGAAGTCAAGGTGTGATGTAAGTCTCAACCATCCCGTCAGTTTGTGGGTGATACGGGGAAGTCCGAATCTTTTTAGTGCCGAGGGAATCACACACCTCCTTTAACAGCTTAGATGAAAATGTTTTACCCTGGTCAGTGAGCAACTGCTCTGGTGCACCCTTGTCCAGCACTTACCACTGCAGAAAGGCTTCGGTTATGGACGCCGCCGATTGGTCAACCAATGGTCAACCAATGGCCATGCCATTGGTTGACCAACGGCGTGGCCATTGGTCAACCCCCCTTAGCAAATATTTGTGCCCCTTCTGGGTAACGGGAAATGGACCCAAAATGTCCAATGCCACTAAATTGGCTGACCTGAGAAACTTTTATGGACTGCAGCACCACCTTGTACGGTTGCGCGGGTGCTTTCCGACTTGCAAATTCAGAGCAAGTTTCAATGAACAAGTGCACATCAGTCTATACCCTGCCAATAGAAATCTTTCTTTAAAGTCAACGACGGTTTCCTTACTCCCAAATGCATCAATTTATCGTGCACCGTGTGCACAAACTTGCCTCGCAGGCTTGTGGGCACAACAATGCAACATCTTTGAAGCTCGACTTCCCATCGCAAGAGTCCATCCATGAGCCGTAAAAAGGGGCGCTCAACTGACCTCAGCGTCTGGGAAGCCTGGCGCCGAAACCTGAACAGGGAGGCATCCGCTACCTGTAGGCGTCCCCACTCACTAAGGTTGAGCCCCAAAATGCGATCGTCTGGCGCGCACACCATGCCTGTCGGGCCCACCATGCCTGTCGGGCCCGTAACAACTGTATCAGGGCCATCTGTAATGGCGGCCCACATCGCGACGAGCCCGCCACACACTTGCATGAGTCGGTCAGCGGTGGTAGGCGCGGGTCCAATGGGCCATTTGGCCGGAGGGTTAGTCTACACGCAGAGAGTACTGGAGCGCAGCATGGTCAGATCGAACAAGGAAGTCCCTGCCGTACAAATACGGACGATACAACTGCATAAAGTGGACCATGGCCAGCAGCTCCCTGCGTGTAACACAATACCTCTGCTCAGCAGGGGACATAACACGGCTGCTGTACGCCACCACTCTTTCCACTCTGTCGACCACCTGGGACGACAAGACGGCGCCTATGCCCGTATCACTAGCGTCCGTGTCGAGGATGAACGTCTTATAGAAATCCGGGTAAACAAGCGGCGGTGCATCGGCCAACGCGTCACGAAGAGCTTCAAAGGAATTCTGCTGTGCTTTGCTGCAATGGAACTTGTGTCCTTTAGCTGTTAACTCATGGAGCGGTTTCACGATAGTTGCGAAGTTTTTAACAAACCTGCGGTAGTACGAGGCAAAGCCCACAAAGCTGCGGACCTCCGACTGATTTGGGGATTGGCCACGTACGCATGCAGCTCGTCTTCTCTGGATCAGTAGCGACTCCCGACGCGCTAACCCACATGACCGAAATAATTAACAGACGTAGCAAATTAAATTTTTGTGGTTTTAATTTCAATTTAGTGTCCCGTACCCAGGAGAAAACAGAGCGCAGACGCCGCAAGTGTTCATCGAAATTTCGCCCGAAGACAATTATGTCATTCAAATAAATAAGGCACAATTCCCATTGCAATCCCGACAAAACCAGTTACAGAAGGCGGTGAAAGGTGGCCGGCGTGGAATGGAGTCCCATCAGAAGGACTTGAAGTGATACAACCCCTGTGGCATACGAAAAGCCGTTTTTGGTTTTGATTCCTCATCCAAAGGCAATTGCCAAAATCCCGACAAAAGATCGAGGGTCGAGAAGAAATGCGCACCGGACAAGGCGTTCAAAGAATCGTCCATGCGCAGAAGTGGGTAAGCATCTGCCACAGAATCCTTAAGTTTTCTGAAATCCACACAAAATCACAACAAGCCATCACGCTTTTTGACTAACACAATGGGCGCCCCCCAAGGGCTGATGGAGGGAGAGACAATGTCTTGCACCAACATCTCGTCCACCGTCTGCTGAATGCAATCTTTTTAATGCGGGCACATCTTGTGGGAGTTCAATCGAATCGAGTGTGCATCCCCTGTATCAATATGATGCTGTAATAGGGTTGTCCGGCCAATATCGTATTTGCCGTCACTGAAAACATCCTTAAACTCATACAAAAGCCGGCGAAGTCGCACCTGCTGCTCGGCTGTCAATTCCCGATTTTCCTCACAACCGCCGCAGCATCGCATACCGGCCGAGCCTGTGCCAACTCCCCTGACATGCATGCCCTGTGTTCCATACCCACGGCCGCCGTCGCATGTGCCAATACGGTGCCTTCCTGAATAACAATCGGCGTATGCCCCACATTAACGACTTGAATAAAGGGGTCACTGTTCGTTGACACCACAGTCAATGCCCCTACCAAAGAGGGTGTCCGCGACACCGCATTCGAGGGGTCAACAAGACTCCCTTCCCCGGGTTCACCAAGGGCAAGTGTTTACGCAGCCGTAATGGCACAAGCATCTGCGTGGCTGGTGGAACGCGTACCGTGCGGATAGCCTACACATCATTGATCGCGGTATACTTCGTAGATGTTGTCAAAAATTTTAGACACTGCCCCGAAGGCACCTCAATACAGCCCTTATCCAGCCGAATGTTAAGGGGCATTCTAGGCAAAAAATCTGCTCCCAATAAGCACGGCATGGCCAAAGTTGTGGAAACCAAAACAGGGCCATCCATGCATACATCCCATATTTGTATCGTAACAATCATTCGACCCACAATCCCAAGACTTGCTCTAGTGGCCGGGGTGAGGCCGGAAACGAACGAAAAGTTGGCAATGATATGAGGGTAGCCGACGCACCCGTGTCGATCACCACTCGGACCTCTACTCCCTGAATAAACGCCATAACGTCCGACGAACCCGGCGCAGCACCGAACGCCCGATATGCCAACGCACACCATTTACTATCATCATACAACCTGTCAGGATGAGTGGTTACAGGGCAACATGACGCGGATGAGTGATGGGAATGAAACGGCCATGTGCATGATGTGTCGTGAAATGCCTGTGGTCCTCGGGACGAGGAGAAGTTGACGCCGTAGGTTGCAGGAGCTCCCGGCGGATCGCCAACATGCAGCTGGCAGTTACTGGTGATGTGGCCCGTCCGCCCGCAGTAGTAGCATCCGTGCGAGGCATAGCCCCTCAGCGGTCCGCGACGTGGTGGCCACCCAACCGGCGACCGACCTCCCCGCATCTCTGCATGTCGTGGACTTGAAGACCTGGTTGCGTATCCCGTGCTGCTGTCGCTGGCCATCGAGTCCCCTTCCACCATTGTGCACACTGTTGCAGCTGGCTCTTCCCTGAGTCCCAGATGCACTGGAATGTTCTTCGCAACTTGGAGGGATGAGAGGTTGTCGTCGGCGGTGACGGAGAGGACGTTCCCCAACTCTTTCGCCACAGTCAATCGCCGTTCCAAAGCGAGCGAGTCGAGAGCTGCCCGATCCATGGAAGGATAGGCAGCCCGCCTGAGGGCTAACAGAGCGCTGTGGAATGCCAGGGGCGAATCCGTGTCACCCCACTTTCTGAGCTGGAACTTCTTTCGGATGGTCGACGGTGGTGCGTAAAGAGCCGCCATCGCAGCACAGGCACTGGCGAGTGACGATCGATCGGCCTCGGGGATGGAGTAGAAGGCGGCCAACGAGTCATCATCAAGGGCCGTCGGCAGGGCCCGCAACGCCTCGTGCTCCGACCACTTGATGGAGCGATACTCTGCTTTGAAGCGGAGATGAAATGCCATCCAGTCGCCCTCGGTCGCGGAGAATGCGTGGACCTGTGGCAGCCGGCACAACGGAGCTGAACACACCGTCGGCGGAGTAGATGCAGAGTCCAACGTGGCCGCTGCAACGGCGGGCCCCGTGCCCGCTCGCTCAGACACGATCGGCGTTGTTGAAGCGACGTGAAGAGCAGTCGCATCCGTCGCCACCCCCGTAGACGTCGTCCGGCCCGCCGCCATCAGCATGTTGACATGTACGTAACGACAACGTCCCGCCAACTCCGTCTCGTTGCGCTGGCCGGAGTTTCCCCGCGCTCAGTCACTTGCGCCGAGGGCAGCCGATCCACTGGTTCCACCGGCTGAGCAACAGCCTCGGGAGCCGTGTTGGGAACCACCTCCTCGTCGTCGGAAGTGTCGACGGGTAAGTTCTTCCTCTTAGCCGCCTTCTTTGACATGGCTGCGTAGTTCTTTACCACTTCGACACCAAATGTAGTGTTTTTATTTCACGCGGACAACTTCTTCTTTTTCTCCTGTGTCACTTTTTATTGAACAGAACTCCTCGCGTTCAACACCACCACCACGTGACTCCGTCGTAACTCTCCCACTTGCGCTGCTCGCCTCGCTCGCTCCGCTCTCTCACTCTCCTAGCCTCTCTACTGCTAGCCTGTCTGCCACGCTCCGCTCGCTTCGCTCTCTCCGATGATGGCCTACCACTACATACTCTGATAGCTTCCCACCCTACACTCTGCTAGCCTCTCCACTGCTAACCTATTACTATACACCCTGTTACCTTCTCTACTGCTAGCCTTCCGCTATACTCTCTGCTAGCTTCTCTACTGCTAGTCTTTGCACACTCACACTTAGAATTCCGCTAGCTTCTCTACTGCTAGCATTTCTACCCTCGCCTCTCCAACCTCGCCCTGCCTCCAGTGGGGGTTCAGCCATCACCGCTGAAGAGGGCGAGGTGTGGAGAGCGGGGCCTTGGACTTCTCTTGTCTTTCCTCTTGTCTTCACTCCGACCAACTCAACTCCCTCCTCACACGCTCCCGTATTTATCCTCCTCCTCATTAACTCCTCTCCAATTAAGCTGGCGACCTCCCGTCGCCTCACGCCCATGGTTTCTGCCGCTATCGCCTCAATCTCCTGTCAACCTGGCAGCCAGCCAATCACTGTTATGCATCTTAATTGGCCGTCTCCTTTCCATTGCTCTCTCTCGCAGCACTTGTTCGCCCTGATGCGACCTCACTGTCTGTAACTCGCACATGAATGCACACCGTTTGCAAATCCCCGCGCGCGTTACTCCACGACATATGTATGTGTGTGTGAGTCGATATGTGTGTGTAAGTCTATGTGTTTGTGTGTGTCGATCCATGTCTGTGTGTGTGTAAGTCGATGTGTGTGTGTCTTTTTCGTAAATATTAAAACACAATTTATTTACTTGCAAAGTAAACTAATTGTATTTTGTCATTTGCGATACAGTCAGATAATACGACAAATCACTAACATTAAACACTCAGTCGTTCATAAAAGGTGAAGGCGGTATAGTACTATAGTCATAGAGCAAGTGCACAATCACTGAACCGGAATTGATAGCTTGAAAGCATTTAGCGCGGGGCCCGCAGCATATAATACTTTTACTACTAGGATAATCCGGCACTGACTACCATGTAGACCAAACGCAGACAAATCTCTCAGTCAGCCTCCGTCCGTCAACACTGCGATTAAGTTGAACACAAAACCGGTTTCGCATATCGGTACAAATAAATTTCTGCCACCCCGTACATAGATTTCAATGTTTTTCCGGACCGTCCGGGTCAAACCCGGAACAGGTGGCAACTCTCATTAAGCCATAGGCTGCAAGACAGAGAGACACGAGGAGACGGAGGGAGGCATAGCACCCCGCACAGCCATCGACCCCGCACGGCAGCACACGTGGACGTTCGACAGCCGAGCTGATCAACAACAACAACAATAAGAGCCGCCGTTCATCACTCAGCGGCGATGACGTCACCACGTCGCCTGTGCCATGCCAGGTGAAATTTGAGGCCACGTGAAGTGTCGAAGGCTCGCTGACAGCAGGTCACGGGACAGACCCAGCAGGTGCCATGGGTTGACTGACTGAGATTACTGGCAGATGTTGCGTTTTAACCGTCCGGCGTTCCGCTCGTTGTTGTGAGCATCGCTCCTCTGCCCTCCGTTGTTATTGGAAGGTGACTGCCTCCAACTGACCAGTAGCAGCGTCCTTCACGAGCCTCCTCCACAAAGGCCGATCTTGACAACACTGGTACGAACCTTGGGCAAGTCCACTCAGCTCCACATCCTCCTGTACCACATCAGTCAATGTCTTCTCCAGCCCGTGCAGTGCCCGTTTATCACCCTCGAACCGGCCAAACAGAAGCTGCTTGTGCATGCGGTGGGCTGGGTATGCGGGATCCATGACCCAGCGGAGCTCTCACAGCAGGCCACGTGCACTGCTCTTGAAACCCTGCACTCTACACGACACGAGCAAGTCGAGCGATCCACAATGGGAAGTATAGTTGATAAGTAAATTCAACAACACGTGGAATCGTTGTAAAGGGCGCCACGGTGATGAGATGTTAACTACCTAGCCTGGTGTGGAGCAGGTCGTGAGATCCATCGCGACCCTGACGCCTGCAGTATATTTGGAGTTTGCATGTTCTCCCCGTGGTCGCGTGAGTTTTCACATTTATAAACATGCGTTCAGAGTATTTGGCTGCTATACATTTCCACGTGATAAGCCACTTCGCTGAGCTATCATTTGTGACCAGGTCGCTTCTGAACAAAAGCTATAAGTAGAAATTGCAACATGTCATGCTTAAGTCGCAACTAATACATCTGCGATACTAAAAGTTAGTAGCAGGGTGCTTAACGTTTTTGGACTGCGATCGCACACTTTCCACTTGCATACTGATACGGGTTTGGGTTAGTTTGCGTAAATATTTACGTGAATATTTACATGAATATTTATATTTACGCAAATATTTACAAAACCCTCTATTATGGATAATATTGGTCGCGAAAGCCTACATCTTAAACGTTTGTCATTTGAAGGCCCACTAAAAATATATACATTCCAAGTTGTGTCTCTTCGCTCATAGCAACTTAACCGTTCTCCCAATGTAAACCATCGCTAACGTCAGGATGTCTGGATACCTCGCACGCCACTGCGAGGTGATGGAGCAAGTCAAGATGATGAATGAAGGGAGCCAAGTTCCCATGCAGCTCCCCTGTTTGTGCGCCGGGTTACTGGGTTACCAGCCGTCTCTTATCAGCACTAGATACACACACAGAAAAAAGGGCACTGCCACATTTCAAGATCCCACGAGATCGCCTTTCTGTTTTTGTTTGAACGTTGCAGTCACCCGTCAGCAGTAGCGGCAGCAGCGGCTGAATGCTCAGTAAAGAGACAGCTCCTGCTCCTGGAGTGTGAAAGAATCACGCACTCCACTCGCACGGCACGTCCTGGAGTCTCATGCATTTCGTGGGCAATTCCAATTCAAGTTCGAATAGCCCACGAAAAGTGCCAAAAGGTTTTCAAAAAGGGAGAATTGCGAGTGCATGTCGTATACACCGTCGGGTTCAGAGAGCGTCAGGGTTTATATAGCACAGTTCTGAGCTTGAGGTTATGAAGTGCACTGGTGTGTCTACCATCGTCTGCATGTATACAGCATGAGTCCAGTGGACGTTCCCACACCACTATGTACTGAGACGTTACACCATCTATTAAGGCAGTGGTTCCTCTTTTTCTTAACCTGGGGTGCACGTACCCCCTGGGGAGGTGCGAGATGCTGTGGGGGCCGACGTCCGCCCCACCGCCATCGCTGGGCAGGTGGGGTGCTACGTTCGCCCCCTCCACTCCCTCCACCGCCTTGCTCAGCTCCCGCCGGGCCTCCACCGAACGGGTTATCGGCCCTCCCGTGCTCGCGCCCTCTCGGAGAGACATGGCTGAATGACTGGCTTACCGCCGTACAGGATTAGTCCTCACTCACTCGTACACACCACCCCTAAGGCTAACGTGGTGGCGAGCACGCGCGCACCGGCGGGCGGTTTTATTCCAACCCCCGCCGGCACTAAGACTAGCACTAAAGTGGCTGCACGAACACGCGCGCGCCGGCGAGCGGTTATATTCCAATACGCGCTTGCACCACAGCTGATGCTCAAGCAGCTGTGCGAGCATGAGCACGCCAGTGGGCGGTTATATTTTACCCCGCGCCCGCACTAAGACTCATGCTAAAGCGGCTGCGTGAACACGCGCGCGCCACGCACACTCAAATCACAAACACTGCACAGATGCTCTGTGCTAACGCTTTTATTCCCGGCGCAAAACCCTGCATTGCCTGGAGGGAATATTCTGCGAGCAGAGCCTATCCTACTACTATCAAATTCCTCAGATACTCACACACCCTATTACGTACCTCACGGCCACACTCATGGTGTCGCACGGACGCTGTGAGAGTCGAAGGGACGGAGATGAGAGTCGGTCTGGGTGGCTAAGGGGTCGGAGATGAGAACTCTTGAACAGTTTTTCGCTCCCTCTTTTATCCCCTTGACTTTGTAAATCCAGAGCTACGTCAACTGTTTCTCTGCCCTTACATTGAGCGTTACATTACGTTATTTTTAAGCCCATTGTCTCTTTACCTGTACTTATTAAATCCTGACTCAGCCTGTTCAATCTGGAAGAGTGCCCAGCTGGCGAATACACACCCGGCTAGTGTGTACTTGGTCTGTAGTGCTGGGATCCCCTGACCTCATCGTTTGCTCTGCTTGCTTAATATTTCACCCCAGCCCCCTTCCCCGATGTCGTGCATGAATCATTGCGGCTGGTCCAGTGAACCTTTGTGCGCCCATACAATTGTATTGAGTCCAACTGAGTCGCAGACGTTGTCTTGGGAGCAACACGTTTTATAAATCTTAGCACAACGTTACTCCAAGCTATTAACACAACATACTCTCGGGTGGGGACCACCCAACTAACCACGCTACGGCAGAACTAGACACGGTTCCACTATCCCGGTCCAAACCACAAGCTGGGTCCCGGACCGCATGGCTGGAGGCTTTTTCAAGCTTGACGTGGATCTCCTGCCTCTCCAACAGTACGAACCCCGAGCCCCTCTCAGGGCTCCCCTTATATCGGGCCAGGCTGGGGCTGGCTCCGCCTCTCGCCCCGCCTACCTTCTCAGTCTCTCTCGCCCTTGCCCGAAGGCTCTCGAGAGTTCTTCTTGGACCATGTGACCACCCATTGGCCCCCGCCACCAGTGGCCCCCTCCAGTATCATCCGGTCACGTGTCCCCAGGTCAGCCAGAGTATCATGCCCCCAACATAACCCTAGCTGGCTGACACTCTCTCGCTCTCCCAATGGGAGCCCGCACCGCACGCTGTGCATGGTGTCACCGCGCTTAACCAGCGCTCACCCAAGCCCGCACTAGGGCCAAAAGGCGCCTTTTGGCGTCATCTGGTCGAGCACCAATTGGGTCGAGGCTCAAAAGAAACCCGTCCCTTGGTGTGGACCAATCAGTTTCAAGGACAATGCATATTTAGAATGTTAATAAATACATAGGGTTTGATGAAAAAAAAAAAGTATTTGTAACTAACGTGCCCGTGCTTAATATGTGTTTTCGGTGATTTACCTTCTAGGCCAAAAGGCGCCTTTTGGCGTCATCTGGTCGAGCACCAATTGGGTCGAGGCTCAAAAGAAAGCCGTCCCTTGGTGTGGACCAATCAGTTTCAAGGACAATGCATCCTATATTATCATAGTATGTTTTTTGTTTGCATTTTGACTGCAGGTATTGTGGTTAATGCAGACATGAATCCTTGTAAAAAGGTTTCAGTTTTGTTGCCAGAAAAAGGGGAAAACCCCTATTCTTATATTCTAAATATGTTTATGATTGAGAACCAAGAGGGTGCAAGGCTGCAGTAAAGGTTAAGAACCACTGCAAGCATCAAGCTCTGGACAACGCGTGTACATTTCTTCAAAACAACAAAGTTACGAAACATTCAAGCAACTTCATTCACCGCAAGCAGGAAATAAAACTGAAGATCATGCGGGCGGAGCCGGGTGTAGCTGGTGTGCGTGTAGTCAATAGCGAGGAGTGGTGTAGTTGGTGTGCGTGTTGTCACAAGCACGGAGTGCCGCACTGAAGTGTCAATTCGTGGCGTTGCACCTTTGGGCAAATGTTGCTCAACGTGGGGCAGATGAAGCCGCGCTGAGCGATGACTGCGTGCAAAGGAATTCGCAGAACGAGTCAGCCTTAGATGTGTTGAGTCGAGTGCGACGGTTCATTTCACACATCTAGGGCGCGAGTCGTAAACACGGCGACCTCTGGCTTTGGTGGAAAGTTTCACCGGTCGACGTTTTTGTCTTCGTGTGAGCTGTGTAACGCGCCAACCCAACGACAACGTTGGGGGCGCGGTCGGGGGTATTCAACTCGGCACCATAATTTCACGGAGTAGAATCCCCACTGATAGAACGAAGCGATGCGGTTTCACCCAACCCGACACGTGAGTGTGTCTGCGCGTGTCGTGCGCGCTTCATGGGCCAATGGTAAGCATCGCGGTGAGCGCCACCCCTGCGACCCGAGTTCGATTCCCACTCACAGCCAACATCAGTGGCGACTATCTGATCGTGGTCGACTCAGCCTCAAATAAGTACCTGGTGTGTAAACATCGCCACGAGGGACACAAAGGCGGCCGGGCGTGGAGCTGACCACCCACCCCCCTCTTGCACTGTGTCGGCCTACATAGGTGATACTCACTCACAGCACTTGTTAAGGCTATACAGGGGATCTTTGTCTTTGCACGTTGCCGAGGTGGTCGATAAAGCGTGGAATGCCTTGCACCCTGCGGGATGACTCGATGCGTGGCTGAGATGCCAGCACGAGCTACGATGCGACGTGACAGCAAGCTACGCTGCACTCAAATGTGGACCATGCCTGCGTCGGTGGGGAGTTCGCATGGCACAAGCTCTCGAGGCTTCCCAAAGTGGCACTACTCAGGTTATCAACTCAGATTGGCACTACTCAGGCTATCAACTCAGATTAGTGCTACTCAGGTTATCAACTCAGATTAGTTCTACTCAGGTTATCAACTCAGATTAGTGCTACTCAGGTTATCAACTCAGATTGGCACTACTCAGGTTATCAACTCAGTTTAGTGCTACTCAGGTTATCAACTCAGATTGGCACTACTCAAGTTATCAACTCAGATTAGTGCTACTCAGGTTATCAACTCAGATTAGTGCTACTCAGGTTATCAACTCAGGTTGGCACTGCTCAGATTATGAACTCAGATTAGTGCTACTCAGATTATCAACTCAGATTGGCACTACTCAGGTTATCAACTCAGATTGGCACTACTCAGGTTATCAACTCAGATTGGCACTACTTAAGTTATCAAATGACATTGGCACTACTCAGGTTATCAACTCAGTTTAGTGCTACTCAGGTTATCAACTCAGATTGGCACTACTTAAGTTACCAACTCAGATTGGCACTACTCAGGTTATCAACTCAGATTGACACTACTCAGGTTATCAACTCAGATTAGTGCTACCCAAGTTATCAACTCAGATTGACACTACTCAAGTTATCAACTCAGATTAGCACTACTCAGGTTATCAACTCAGATTAGTGCTACTCAGGTTATCAACTCAGATTGATACTACTCAGGTTATCAACTCAAATTGGCACTACTCAAGTTATCAACTCAGATTGGCACTACTCAAGTTAGCAACTCAGATTAGTGCTACTCAGGTTATCAACTCAGATTGGCACTACTCAGGTTATCAACTCAGATTAGTGCTACTCAGGTTATCAACTCAGATTGGCACTACTCAGGTTATCAACTCAGATTAGTGCTACTCAGGTTATCAACTCACATTGGCGCTACTCAGGTTATCAACTCAGATTAGTTCTACTCAGGTTATCAACTCAGATTGGCACTACTCAAGTTATCAACTCAGATTGGCACTACTCAGGTTATCAACTCAGATTGGCACTACTCAGGTTATGAACTCAGATTAGTGCTACTCAGGTTATCAGCTCAGGTTGAACGACGATGATTGGGTTCATCCCAGAATGGAATTTGTGCACGAAACCTTCAGACTCAACAAGTGAGTTATTGGAAGGCAATTTTAGGATCCGGTATAGATGTTTCGGCTAGGTCACGTATGAATCTGGCCAAATTGTTGTAAAACCCTAACTTAACGAAACAAATTGAATTGTCGAGTGGGAAGTATTTTAATGCGCCAATTATTATTGTTCCAGCTCACTGGTGAGTTGAGAAAAACATTTACAGCCCAATTTAACGATTAAATGCGTGACTTGTTGATTTAAAATGCGCCAAGCATCATGACGACAAGATGCAGTAAGTCAGAATAACACTTTAACCCTCAACAATAACTCAAACTCCTTTTGAACCATCAGAATGTGAGCCACGTGCCATAACCACCGGACCGTCCAGTCAAATTGGTTTTGCCACACTAGCAGAACCATTTTTGATAACACCGGAATTGTTCTGCAGTCGGAAAAATCAAGTCACGCCACTGCAATTCAAAGTTCGGGGCAAGAGATGAGTGAAACATCCACTGGACCTTTCATGGGCAGCAATCAGGGTGGTGATGCGGCCCAGCGGTAGCTCGCTTGCCGCTTGCAGCAGAGGCTCGCGGATCGAGCCCTGTGGCCACCCTGGTTATTATGGTGGCGAGATGTTAACTACCTCGCCTGGTATACAGGTAGTGGGTTTGATCCCAACTCTGACGCCTGCTGTATATTTGGAGTATGCGTGTCTCCTTCACCATGGTTGCGTGGATTTTTCTACTGTTCTGGTTTTTCCCTCCACATTTATAATCAATGTCACGCGTTTAGAGTATTTAGCTGCTATAAATTTCCACACGATGATAAGCCACTTCGTTGAGCTATTATTTGTGGCCAGGTCCCTTCGGAAAAAGAGCTATATCGCTCAGTGGGCCTTACTTGGTATGATAATACTGTTTATGGTTTCATAGTTTTTAGTTGTATTACTGCGGGTGTATTGACTGTAACATCCCAATGCACTGTCTGCGTCACAGTGAACATGATAGATTCCATGACGCAAATGACTCAAATAGGAGTACACATGGCAACATCGCGCCCTACTGGCAGACTAAATCTGTCTGTGAAACGTAGCGCCTTCGAAATAGCTCTGCACTACAAGAATGGTGCGAATTCCAAATGTAATAATTATCATTATTATGTTTGCACTACATAATGGTAATTATTATATCTTTTAGCGTCTATCATGCACGCATTATACTTGCCCACTTGGCTTACAATTGTTTAACCGGTGTGAATTTTCTGCAAAATGTTATTGACAATGTAACATAGATGACATAAAGCTGCAGAGGTGTTTGGTGACATCGAGAACATTAAGGGCGTTACGACATGAGCAGGCGTCCGTGTCACCTTAGAGGAATTGTAGATTATATATTTTTTTAATGGAACCTTTATTGATATACGCAGCACACTCCCATTACACTTCATATTCCACCCAGCGCAAAGAGTCACCGTGGGATATTTCATTGCACTGCGTGTGGGAGAGAGCAGATCAAGTGACCTCACTCGCCACGAGTGCAATCCACGCCGCGCTGCGCTCGCGTATTCCGTGGGCTGTGTACGTGCGCGGGCGCATGCCGGAGTGCTCGTGCCCGAGTGGATGTTTTGTCTCGGTGGAAATGAGAGATTGTGAGATCGGAAGCGAGAGCCTTCCGTCAAAAGATGGGTGGGGAGGGAAATGAGGGCTGCAGGAGGAGGGAGTCCGGACAGGAAGGGAGGCGGTAAGAGCTGCCGATTCACGGACTGTACAATATCTCGCTCCGCGCAGCCGTTCATTGACGATGCCATTGATTGCTTTGTGAGCTCAGCCCGGTGAACCCAGCCGGGTGATCCCTGATGGGTGATCCCAGCCCGGTGAACCCAGCCGGGTGATCCCTACTGGGTGATCCCAGCCCGGTGATCCCTGATGGATGATCCCTGCCGGGTGATCCCTGATGGGTGATCCCTGCCGGGTGAGCCCAGCCCGGTGATCCCAGCCGTCAGCACAGGAAGCCAGAGAAGGCCATTCCCAGGGTACAGCATGACGAGTGCCCGGTTACAGCGATTTTGTGTCACAGGTAATTTCTGTTAAATCGGAGTGGACAGAAAACCGACTATAAATTAGTTTTTCTAAGTAATTAAATAACAGTGTTGTGGGTTTTTTTATGAGGATGCGATATTAATTAATAAAATGTTGTCAACAAGCCACCTTCAACATTATTAGGGGCACCGCGGTGGCGAGATGTTAACTGCCTCGCTTGGTATACAGGAGGTCATGGGTTCGATTCCGACACTGAGGCCTGCTGTATATTTGGAGTTTGCGTATCTCCCCGTGCTCGCGTGAATTTGTCTCCGGGTCCTCCGGGTTTTCCCTCCACATTTAGAAAGATGCGTTTAGAGCATTTGGCTGCTATACATTTCCACATAATAAGCCACTTTATTGGGCTAACATTTGTGGTCAGGTCGCTTCTGAAAAAAACCTGTATAGGGGCCGTCCATAAATGACGTCACGCGATTTTTGACCTCCCCCCCCCAATCGTCACACGGCGTCACAAAAAGTCAGACCCCCTTCAAATATGACGTCACAAAGCTCTGCCCCCCTTCCCCCCAAAAAATAAAACATATTTCAAATCGCTATAAGCTATTGTCATTGCAATGCGTATTTAATGTGGTGCTGCACTCTGTTATAGGAGAAAACATTTAATAAAAAGTCTATTTAATTAAGTAGAACGTGTTGTTTATATTTATTTAAAGTTGCGCATTTTGATGTGACGTCACATTTCTCAAACCCCCCCCCCCCATCGTCACAGTCACAAATGTTTGACCCCCCCCCCTAGGTGCGTGACGTCATTTATGGACGGCCCCATAGCTAAGTGGGCCTTACCTGGTATAGATACCGACGGCTTGCAGAACAATATAGAAATTCTAACGTTGTATTTGTATGCTCACGTGTTTTTTTCTCTAGTGCTGTTATTAGGTTAATTCTAGTTTGCATGTTTCCTTTAACGGTCTACACACGCCACGATGATCTTTTAAAGCCACAGTGACACCGTTCTACCTTCGGTGACCTCTGAGCACTGCGCACGGGGGGGGGGGGGGGTGACCAATGGAGGAGGCGCTGCAGGCAGTGGAAATTGCGTTCAGGAAGGGATCGCCAGCAACTTGAGCTTTGCAGAGGACGTGGGTCTGCCGCTGTCTGAATCGCCTGCTGGACAAATGCAGAGGGTCCCAGTCTGGGTGTAAAGCAGCAGCAGCAGGGGACTCGGTGTGAATGTTCACGTGACAGACGTGAACTCCGAGCGGGGGAGTTGGGGAACTACATTCTTGTCACCCTCTTATCAGTGCGCCCACCTTATTACAGACCAATTCAGGCCTTATTGGTCACCCCGTGCCCCTTATAAACATCAACGTTCAGCCTACAAAGTCCCATCACAAGGGAGAATCGCAAACAGGTCCAAACGGCTGTACGCCGTTTGGACCTGAACACTCAAGAATTGTATTCGCCTTAGCAGAAAAATGGACATCTGGAAAATGAAGACAATCGGCCACTGATAGACAAAAGATAAATACACGGAGACAGAGACACAGAGACAAGACAGAGGCACAGAGACAAGACAGAGGCACGGAAACAGAGGCAAGACAGAGACTCAGAGACAAGACTTAGAGACGGAGAGAGTTTAATCACAACTACGACATCGACAGAACGTTGACGCACAGCCACGACTCCACACAGCGCCGCCGCCTCCTCTCACCCATGTCGAAGCCATGAATGGCTCAGCGTGGCTGCTCCTCTTCCATTCTCAAAACGAGCTGAGGATGGGTGAGGGGACGGGGGGGCTCCGTCATTGACTCGGACGCGACGTCAGCGGAGACACAGCAGCTGCCACCCCCACTGCGAGGAGGAGGTGGCGGCGGAGCCTCCTCCTCCTGCGCGCCCATTGCTCGGCGCGGGGTGACGCGGGCGGAGGGAACGAGAAGAGAGCGGCGAGAGGAGGAGGAGGGGGGGGTCGGTGAGTTGGGGGGGGGTCGGTGAGTTGGGTGACGCGCCAAGCACCGCGCTCGCGGCACTCCACGTCGCAGTTGGTGGACCTCGGAGCGGCGGCACGGCACGGGTTGAGGTGGAGGAGGTGAAGTCAGTGCGCGACGGCGGCACGGGTACTCGGGGAGACGCGGCGGCGCGGCAGAGGCGAGGATGTCTGACGGGGGTGAGGAGGACGGACAGATGGACGGGCAGAGGGAGGCGGGCGGCCGTGGCCGCTCCCCGGAGTGGCTGAGCCGCGGTTTAGAGCGCGGCGCGCCGCCGCTGCTGCTGCTCGACGTGCGCGCCCCGGAGGCGTTCCGCGAGGCGCGGGTGCGCGGCGCGCTCAGCCTCTGCGTGCCCCCGGGCCTCATGCTGCGCCGCCTGCGCAAGGGCAGTCTGCCCGTGCGCTCGCTCATCCCCGAGCAGCGCCACAAGGACGCGTTCGCCCGCCGCTGTAAGAGCCACGCGGTGCTCCTGTACGGGGCGGACGGCGGCGGCGACTGCGGCGGCGAGGACGGCGGCGGCGGCGGCTCCGTGCTGGCGCTCATCCTGAGGCGCCTGCGCGAGGAGGGTTGCGAGGCGTCGTTCCTGCAGGGTGAGGGAGAAGCGAGCTCGCACCTCCGCGCACTCGCCGCAGGGAGCTTTCCCGACACGCGCACTCGGGCTCGCCTGGGAAGCAGGGTGGAAGGACAAACACAACCCACCCCCTCATCTAGCGGTGGATAGACACGGTGGGGTGATGCGTCGTTAATCTACCGGTCCGTCAACTTGTCAATGCGTTGTGATGTTTATCTCCGCGAGTGACTGCATTTTGCGTGCGACTGCGAGCACACTGGGTAAGCCATGTGCTTGCAGGGTGGATACCCGCCACGCTGGCGGTAATCCGCGAGCGTGGCTGTCTGGGGACAACCCTCTTGACTGAAACGTCAACAACATCCGAGCACCCGTTCACCGAGGGCTGAGCCACGGTGAAGCTCGTTCTACGACCAGCGAAACACCCCCCAGCGTGTCCTGAGCGTACCGCGCGTCAGACTTTTTCCGTCTTTCCAAACAATGTACGGGCCCCCTGTGTCAACCCACTGCTGGATGGAGGCTGTCCCCATACCGGGTCGGTCATCAGGGTTAATGGGGAGCGGTGGTGCAGCGGTTAGCGCTACGCTGCGCTACGAACCCGGCGACCCGGGTTCGATTCCCGCTCACGGCCAACACCGGTGGCGATTATCTGAACCGGTTCTGGGTCTCCCCTAGGTCTCAAATGAGTACCTGATGCGTTGTGTAGTAAACATCGCCACTGGGGAAACGAAGGCGGTCGGTCGTGGTGCTGGCCACCCACCCCCTCGTATGCCGTGCCGGCCTTCACAGGCGCTCGCTAACAAGCACTTGCCCCAACAGTCTGTTAAGGCTACACGGGGGATCTTTGTCTTTTGGCCACACTTCACGGGGTGCAGGGCCAGTTCAGATATCGCTCGCCACTGCCGTTAGCCGTGGCCGAGTTGAGGGCGCTGTCGAGCGCGCACCGCCGTGACATCATCGATCGTTGTGGGAAAACGTCGCCGTCAATGAAGACTTCGGGAAGTGGTGAGCGGGTTACGAACGAAAGGCTAAAAACCTCGACTCGTGTGTAGTCGGGTTTTGCAAGGCGTACAGATTGATCCAAACTCCAAAGATACAGCAGGTGTCAGGGTCGGGATCGACCCCACGACCTTATGCATACCAGGCGAGGTAGTTACCATCTCGCCGCCTTGGATGTGCATCACCTGGGGTGGGCACGTGTGGCAGATACTCAAACACAGCAACGAACGGCACTCCGTACACATCCAACCACTTGATTGTCACTTCTTAAACAACCACAATTGTACATTGCTAAAATTTTGAGTGGTTATAGTTGTACGGGACTGAGATGGAAACGTTCACTTCTATTTACCTGAAGCGACTTACATCACATCTCGTTTGACGGTGCAGCTGCGTTCCTTGTGCGGCACAAAGTGACTCGGCAGTCCGGCACGGGTCGGGCACGGGTCGAGGCACAGGTCGGGCACGGGTCGAGGCACGGGTCGAGGCACGGGTCGAGGCACGGGTCGGGCACGGGTCGAGGCACGGGTCGGGCACGGGGTCTGCCAGTAGGGGGCGATGGTTGCCGTTGTGCAATCCCCATTGGGTAATTTGTCCCGAGGCGAGCCGTGTTCGTTTGTGGGTTCGGCCCACGTAAGAATACAAAATGTGGAGAGTCGCATTGGCTAAGAGCAGGGACGCGTTGAGTCGACCAGGTCGTTACACATTGCCACTGCACGCGAAGCACTCACGTCTATTACCATCTACCACCGATACACAATTGGACCACACAAGCGCTGTGACCACACAATGGGAGTATCGCGTGATGTAAATAGTTTTACTCTTCTATTTTTGCGAATGATGGCAATATAATTCTAAACAGCGGACGTCGAGGGTTTCTGGAGAGAGAGCGCCAGTAGGTTTGCTCTTCCCCCATCTCTGATGAAGGAATGCAGACTACAGTGGTGTTACGTGACACGCTCCACAGTTTGAGTTGCATGGCCACAATCGCACCACTGTGGCTCTTGTCTTTACTTTCCCGTTCACGGACAAACAACAACAGCAACAAAAGTAGTAGCGGCTTCGCCCTGCCGATGATCTTTATGTTCGATGCCGAACACCATCAAACCAAACGCGATTCCCTCGGTTGGCCGGGTCTCGCCCGCGTCTTGCCGGCTCAGGGAGACGCAACAGAGGCCCCGTGCGGCCACCAGCAGCAGCAGCACGAGGCGCTGCACTGGGCCCCCGCCCGCCCCACAACCCAATCCCTGGCTTGTCAACAGCCGGAGGCGAACCGGGACTGGGGGTGGGTCTGGAGGCGAACCGGGACTGGGGGTGGGTCTGGAGGCGAACCGGGACTGGGGGTGGGTCTGGAGGCGCTGGCTCCGTGCCGCGACTCCACCGCGGCCACCCCGCGCGTCCTTCCCGCAGGGGTCGCCGCTCAGCGGCGAGCGTAGCGAGGGTACACAAACAGCTGTTTACAGCAACTGGCGGTGCTCGCCAACAATAGACCACACGCACACAACAAAACCCCCTCTCCCCACCGGCTCGCACGCTCCTCGCCACCCGCAGTGCAACGCGATACGGCGGGTGGGGGGGGGGTGCGCTCCGGGTAATGTGCAGTATGAGCAGTGCGGTGGGCCAGCAACAAACGGCACTGTCAAAGTTGTAATAGGGTAAGAGTTCACGCGTTGCGTGAGCTGAGCGAGGTTATTGGGTCGTTCGTTTCTCAATCCGCTTGTACTGGTGAGGGTCGCGGCTGAGCAAGTTTGTGATAATAATAATGATGACGAGAGCTTGGGGGGCTCGAGATGGCGATGGGGGGGATCAGAAAAGTGGAGTCGTGTGAGGGAAGAAGCAACAAGAGAAGTGCGCGTGTGTGTGTTCTATTGTGGTGAGTGTGTGTGTGGTGTGTGTGTGTGTGGTGTGTGTGTGACCTGTAGTGTGGTGTGTGTGTGTGGTGAGTGTGTGTGACCTGTAGTGTGTGTGTGTGACCTGTAGTATGGTGTGTGTGTTCTATTGTGGTGAGTGTGTGTGTGGTGTGTGTGTGACCTGTAGTGTGGTGTGTGTGTGTGGTGAGTGTGTGTGACCTGTAGTGTGTGTGTGTGACCTGTAGTATGGTGTGTGTGTTCTATTGTGGTGAGTGTGTGTGTGGTGTGTGTGTGACCTGTAGTGTGGTGTGTGTGTGTGGTGAGTGTGTGTGACCTGTAGTGTGTGTGTGTGACCTGTAGTATGGTGTGTGTGTTCTATTGTGGTGTGTGTGTGTGACCTGTAGTGTGTGTGTGTGATTTGTAGTGTGGTGAGTGTGTGGTGTGTGTGTGTGTGTGACTTGTAGTGTGGTGTGTGTGTGACCTGTAGTGTGTGTGTGTGTTCTATTGTGGTGTGTGTGACCTGTAGTGTGTGTGTGTGTTCTATTGTGGTGTGTGTGACCTGTAGTGTGGTGTGTGTGTGTGTTCTATTGTGGTGTGTGTGACCTGTAGTGTGTGTGTGTGATTTGTAGTGTGTGGTGTGTGTGTGTGACTTGTAGTGTGGTGTGTGTGACCTGTAGTGTGTGTGTGTGTTCTATTGTGGTGTGTGCGTGTGACCTGTAGTGTGGTGAGTGTTAGTGTGTGACCTGTAGTGTGGTGAGTGTTAGTGTGTGACCTGTAGTGTGGTGTGTGTGTGTGTTCTATTGTGGTGTGTGTGACCTGTAGTGTGGTGAGTGTGTGTGTGACCTGTAGTGTGGTGTGTGTGTTCTATTGTGATGTGTGTGTGACCTGTAGTGTGTGTGTGTTATTTGTAGTGTGGTGAGTGTGTGGTGTGTGTGTGTGACTTGTAGTGTGGTGTGTGTGTGACCTGTAGTGTGTGTGTGTTCTATTGTGGTGTGTGTGACCTGTAGTGTGGTGTGTGTGTGATTTGTAGTGTGGTGAGTGTGTGTGTGTGACCTGTAGTGTGGTGAGTGTGTGTGTGTGTGACCTGTAGTGTGGTGTGTGTGTGACCTGTAGTGTGTGTGTGTGACCTGTAGTATGGTGTGTGTGTTCTATTGTGGTGAGTGTGTGTGTGGTGTGTGTGTGACCTGTAGTGTGGTGTGTGTGTGTGGTGAGTGTGTGTGACCTGTAGTGTGTGTGTGTGACCTGTAGTATGGTGTGTGTGTTCTATTGTGGTGAGTGTGTGTGTGGTGTGTGTGTGACCTGTAGTGTGGTGTGTGTGTGTGGTGAGTGTGTGTGACCTGTAGTGTGTGTGTGTGACCTGTAGTATGGTGTGTGTGTTCTATTGTGGTGTGTGTGTGTGACCTGTAGTGTGTGTGTGTGATTTGTAGTGTGGTGAGTGTGTGGTGTGTGTGTGTGTGTGACTTGTAGTGTGGTGTGTGTGTGACCTGTAGTGTGTGTGTGTGTTCTATTGTGGTGTGTGTGACCTGTAGTGTGTGTGTGTGTTCTATTGTGGTGTGTGTGACCTGTAGTGTGGTGTGTGTGTGTGTTCTATTGTGGTGTGTGTGACCTGTAGTGTGTGTGTGTGATTTGTAGTGTGTGGTGTGTGTGTGTGACTTGTAGTGTGGTGTGTGTGACCTGTAGTGTGTGTGTGTGTTCTATTGTGGTGTGTGCGTGTGACCTGTAGTGTGGTGAGTGTTAGTGTGTGACCTGTAGTGTGGTGAGTGTTAGTGTGTGACCTGTAGTGTGGTGTGTGTGTGTGTTCTATTGTGGTGTGTGTGACCTGTAGTGTGGTGAGTGTGTGTGTGACCTGTAGTGTGGTGTGTGTGTTCTATTGTGATGTGTGTGTGACCTGTAGTGTGTGTGTGTTATTTGTAGTGTGGTGAGTGTGTGGTGTGTGTGTGTGACTTGTAGTGTGGTGTGTGTGTGACCTGTAGTGTGTGTGTGTTCTATTGTGGTGTGTGTGACCTGTAGTGTGGTGTGTGTGTGATTTGTAGTGTGGTGAGTGTGTGTGTGTGACCTGTAGTGTGGTGAGTGTGTGTGTGTGTGACCTGTAGTGTGGTGTGTGTGTGACCTGTAGTGTGTGTGTTCTATTGTGGTGTGTGACCTGTAGTGTGGTGTGTGTGTGTTCTATTGT